TATAGTTTATATAGGGAAATAACACTTTTCGGTATATATTTTATCCATTTTCAGCAGAAAATTACTCAAACTTAATCAGAATCATCTTGGGTGAATGAGAGTATTACTTTGTAAAATTAGGATTCCTGCCCCATCCCCAGGGGCTAGGGCGGGGCCCCAAAGGGAACATTTACCAATATTTTCAAATTCTTATCCATTGATGACATGACAAGTATTGTATTTCACTTAGTTAACATGCTGATTTCCACATCACATCTAAACAATAAAATAAAGCTACCAGTACCTATAATATAACTCAGGTGACCGCTAAGGCCCTTGGGCCTCTTGTTTATTACAACATTGCCATTCATCACAAAAGTTGATCTATATAGCTAAAACAAGGTTTGACAAAATGTGCCAGCAGTACCACCGCCCCCACCTCTGGAGGTGAGAGAACAATAAACCTTGAAATATGCTGAAAGGTTTGATATAAATAATGACGAAAAAAATAATCTTCAAATCAAATGTTGACAAATGTATATATAGCAAACAATAAGACAAAGGTAGTAATGTGAGTGTCTGATACTGTGGGACAACTGAGGTGGTACCATCTGTCTCCACACCAGGCTGTGATACTCCTGGTACCTACAGGGATTCCAGTCGTACTTCTCTCTACTGGGGCAATCTGTTTACAAACAAATCAACATTGTCCACTCATGTTCAATTATAGGTGGTTATGTTTTAAATCCAACTTCAAAGGTAGAATAGTTCTTTGTTGAGTGGCAGGTCTGTTGATTAATATAGTTGTGGCAATATCTGTGTGCCTGCAATATCACAGGCTGTGTGTTTGGTGATAACACAAATGCTGACTGTCCAGGTAGAGAACCTAGGTTAAATATTACACAAATACTCACTGTCTGACAACACTTCATATGTTTATCAGGACAGGTGGCTAGCATTGATTAGACCTGAAAGTATCATACAGTTTAAAGTGTTTCCTTTGGTCTCATTGTCATGTGTGAACATGTCCCCTAGGTCACCCTTACCTGAAAGGTAATACCCCATGGTAATAAAAAGGTCATACTTAGTGGGGTTGGGAAGTCCACTGTATCCCCTTATCATTCCCTCCATTTTTATCCCTTTACTTTTCCCTTCTTCCTTCTACTCCCCTCTGTCCATTCCTTCTACTCCATCTATCACCTTCCAGCCGTCCTCCTGTCAGCGTGGCTAGCTGTAGTAAATCCCCCGTCCTAGCTGGGGGTTAGGAGGCCAGGTTAGATTACCAAGAATTGTCATTAAGTTTCACATTATTACCAGATTACTTCTACTGTTACCTGTTGTGTAGCTGGGTACAGGTGACATATTTGGAATGATTGCATTCTCCGTACAATGTGGCTATTCAAACAAGATCGTGTCCAAGTTTTGCGTGAAATATTCTATACTACATCTGATTTAGACACAAAGAAAACTTGTCAAAGTGGGCAATATGAAAAAGTTTTGATTCAAAGAAGGAAGTAAAGTTATTTAATTTGAGATTAAGCAGTGCATAGACGTTAATGTTATCACCTCTGACTTAACCACTCTCTATGTGTGGTCCCCCAAGTTATTAAGACAACAAAAATACCAGACACACCAGACTCTACCCTGTATATTTCTACATTCGTACATAACACCACTGAAAGTGGAATAATTTTAAAAATGTATGTTTAATGATGATCTCTCCAATGATTACCTACTGGGAGGACATGCTGCTAGCTGGTTTATACAGGAACCTGCCATTCCTACTGTATGTGTACCTCACACTTGAAATAATTCAAGTTTATTAGTTACTCAATTAAACCAATTACACCATTAAACCTAGATACAGCTGATAATACTCCATTAAACCAATTATACCATTAAACCAAGATACACCTGCTAATACTCCATTAAACCAATTACACCATTAAACCAAGATCCACCTGATGTTATTCCATTCAACCAATAACATCATTAAACCAAAATACACCTAATGTTATTCCATTAAACCAATTACACCATTAAACCGAGATACACCTGATAATACTCCATAAAACCAATTACACCAATAAACCCAGATACACCTGATGTACACATGATTTTACTCCATTAAACCAATTACACCACAACAAGATGCACCTGATGTTACTCCATTAAACCAATTACACAATTAAACCCAGATACACCTGATGCTACTCCATTAAATTGAGATACATCTTACACCAGTAAACCCTAGACAGTTATATGCGTTGAACTTTCTGTTATTATTTCTAACTGTTTATACAATGTTTCTTGTAGGAGTTTGACAAACAGGCAGCCAAAACTGTACAATGCCTGTTTGACCAGATCGACTCTATGCTATTCGAGCAGAATGTAGAAGGACCAAGTTATATACTCAAAGAGTGCAAGGAATGGAATCTCAAATTTCCTCATTTACGGTAAAAAAGCCTTTTATTTCAACTGTTGGTGGGACTTGTTTGAAGTAAATCTTATATATAAATAACAAATCTTAAGACCGTTTATCCAACATAATATAACTGTGTACTGCAATTGATGTACTCGAAGCACTACATACAAGTTGCTATGTAGCTATGTGGATGTTTTGCAATATTAGTTTCAAATTGGTTTGATCAATCCAATCAGTCATTTGCCACAAGATAGCATCCCTATTGAGTTGATTTTGTGTTTCACAAAAGTAGGTAGAAATTCTATTACATTATGTAATATCAAAGGATTATAATACGAGGAACAATTCAGGTTTGTGTTAGACTGGTTAGACACATACTGGTCAGTATACTAGAAACAATCCAGGATTGTGTTGGACTGGTTGGACACACACTGGTAAGTATACTAGAAACAATCCAGGTTTGTGTTCGACTGGTTAGACTCATACTGGTCAGTATACTGGGAACAATCCAGGTTTGTGTTCGACTGGTTAGACTCATACTGGTCAGTATACTGGGAACAATCCAGGTTTGTGTTGGACTGGCTAGACACATACTGGTAAGTATACTAGAAACAATCCAGGATTGTGTTGGACTGGTTGGACACACACTGGTAAGTATACTAGAAACAATCCAGGGTTGTGTTAGACTGGTCAGACACATACTGGTCAGTATGCTAGGAACAATCCAGGTTTGTGTGAGACTGGTTAGACACATACTGGTCATTATACTAGAAACAATCCTGGTTTGTGTTGGACTGGTTGGACACACACTGGTAAGTATACTAGAAACAATCTAGGTTTGTGTTAGACTGGTAAGACACATACTGGTCATTATACTAGAAACAATCTAGGTTTGTGTTAGACTGGTAAGAAATATACTGGTCAGTATACTGGGAACAATCCAGGTTTGTGTGAGACTGGTTACACACATACTGGTCAGAATACTAGGAACAATCCAGGTTTGTGTTCGACTGGTTAGACACATTCTGGTCAGTATACTAGGAACAACCCAGGTTTGTGTTGGACTGGCTAGACACATACTGGTCAGGATACTAGAAACAATCTAGGTTTGTGGTAGACTGGTTAGACACATGCTGGTCAGTATACTAGAAACAATCCAGGTTTGTGTTTGACTGGTTAGACACATACTGGTCAGTATACTAGAATTGATGGTGTAGAAACGTATGTGATAATTTAAGATGGTGTAAACCACATTAACGAAGGATGATATATGTTTGTGATGTTTGTTGACAGGATCCTGGGCAGCCAACTGTTCCATCCACAGGACATGGGGTTCCAGGCGATAGAGAGAGAAGGTTCACGGCCGTCCACGGGCAGTATGGGACTGGTGGATATCACAGACCAGGAAATGGTCACCACGCAAGACATACACAGGTATCTGCCTGATCCAAGATTGCAGTGGATAGATGATTAAGTGTGTTAAAATTTGGTGATTTGGCAGATCCATGTCTAGATTGCTGAGATTCAATTACCAAAGTTTAAAACAGTCCAATAAGAAAAAAATAAAAATAAATACATCCTTTGTTATTTGTGCGTTTTGATTTTCATTTATACAGTAGCTTCTGAGGATGTAGAATGACATAAATTATTCATGGAAATGGTAAGACTAAATGTCAACAAGCACAATAGAAATAATTGTCTGATACGAAATGTAGTGAGCAGTTTTCTTGACACTGTGTACTTATATACTGGGCAACAGTTTATATGATAAAGATCAGTAGTTCGATCTCTTAGGTTCATAAAGCTACATATTCACCTCAGCAAACATCCATAAATTTAAATAATATTGCTTGTTATATGATGACATAACATATAATTTTATATTCCCCACAGTCTAACACTGTCAGGACAGCGTATACGACCCCAGCAGCCCCCTCTGGAGGCCCGATCCTACCACTCGGGTATGTCAACATCGAATTCCACATCTGAGTACACACACTTGGAGGAGGAGATCTTCAGCCAGGAGGGCGAGTATGAGGAGATCATTGCCATAGACTACGTAGACATGTGAGTATACATATTCACATACGTTGCCGAGTACTATTTGATAATTTGTGTAAGCTATTTAGAGACACACAAAACAAAACTAAAAACTTTTTGAAATCTTAGAATAATCCTATCACCTTGCTATATAAATCAAACTTTGATAATCTTTATGTTACCAGATAGTATTTATTTGATCAGTGTTGTGTCAAGTAAATTCTCGTCAAATGTCTTCAGGTTTGATTTTGTGTAATGTTTTTATCATAAAATGTATATGAGCGATCTTAAAAAAAACCAAGAAATAAAAAGATTGTGGGTGTCCTTTTGATTTCAATGTTGAGCAGTGTTGCTGAACAAAGTCTATATTTTGGTAGATATGATGATGATTATAACCTAAAGAAGCAGCTTACGCCCCGGCGCCGGCGGGTCGGCTACCCACCCATCACCCCTAATGCTTGTGTCAAGGATGCAGTAATGAGCTCAGTATTTGACAATATGTGGCAAGAGGTATGGTCATCACAACTCTAGTGTCTGGTTCATAAAACATCAGGTTGACATCAGTCATATAGTAGATGTGCTTTGGATTGTCACTAATTCAAAATCAAATTTAAGAAAAGTGGATTCAATAGTAGGAAATTCAATAAATGAAGATAATAATAAGTTAACTTTTGCTAAAACAATTGTATATACAAATTTTTTGCAAGTTTTGTTTTACCTTTCAGATTTTAGAATGGATGAGGAACATCAACCGGCAGTATTCAATCCTTGTACTAGGTAAACTCATGTCTGTGTATTCAATCCTTGTACTAGGTAAACTCATGTCTATGTTGATTTTCTTTCAATGATGAATTTATACTTTTAAAGTGATCTTTGGTTGTGAACTCACTTGTTTCTAACCTTAATGGTTTCAATGATACTGCAAAATATATCTGTCCGCTAGATAATTATACTTGGTGAGAGAACAATGATGTCTGAATACATTTTATACAGCAATACTTCTAGGGGTTAAGGAATATATTGACGTTTACCTATACGTATTTGTATTGCTATCATTATTTGTACCTGTTGTCTATGTTGTTTCAGAGGAAAGTAAACCGTCCCTCCCTGTAGCCGATATGACTTTAAATATATCCTCATCTAACCACATGCAGCTGCCTCCATCCCGGGAACCCTCCTTCTACATACACAGGGTAGGTAGCTCCAACTTTGTCATCACAAGAAACTGTAAAGGAAAGAAACAAAAATGTGTTACTGCTATTTATCACATACCTGTTGAATCTTGTTATAGTAATACAAGCAATTTTCAGGACATGAAATACAACGTTCTGTAAAGCACATGTGCAACACGGAATGTTGTATGTAACTACTGTTTAGAGGAATCCCCTTGTCATGGCGAACTGAAAAGTTCCCGGGATTTGCAAAAATATATCAAAGTTTATAAAATCTTTGTATCGATCTCTACCAAATACGGAAGGTATGTGATAAAAGCAAGACCACCCACTTGTGTTTTTCTAACGAATCAGAAAGCACAAGTGTGTGTTCTTGCATATGTATTTTACTACTGGTATATAGCATGAGTTTAAAGTAGGTTCCAGGAGTCTCTCACTGAAATAATTGATATAAAACTATTTTAATCCATTGTTATTGATGTAAATGGTATTACTTTGAACCAAAACATAAATTACTGTTGGAAGGTTTTCTTTCAGGCAGTGTTATGTTTTGCATGTATGGTAAATAAGATATTTACAGTATTGAATGTTGTATATCATAGATTGAAGGAAATATACATATTTTAGTTCACACAAATTTTTCATAGACTAGCATATTGATGAGTTCGAACACACACAATATTTGCAATATTTAATCAATGAAAATTGCTGAAATAAGATTACCACTTGCTTGAATTGCAAAAATAGCACAGCATTTATATGTAGCTCATAAATTACTTGTATACACTTGAAATGGTATTAATGCTAAAATTTCATTGGTTAAAAAATACTGATTTATCTATAATCATTTATTTTCAATAGATGCCAAGATCCTACACAACAATGGGCGTGTCTAAGTTCAGTACACCACAACTGGATGAACTTCTCCAGATCTCACGGAAAGATCTTATTACTAGGGAGAAATCATTGTTACAGTATGTATTTCTACCACACTGAACTCTTATTACTGAGACAGATTGTATGTACAAATTATCAGCCTCTTTCGCATGTACACTGAATATTACCCCGTACAAAAAGTAGTCGGTGAAATTGTCTAGTAATCCAGAAATTGAATCTTAAAAATGATGCGAATAAAGAACACAAGACTTCAGGGGTTGGTCATATGAAAATATCAAATACTAGGTATTAATGACAGTTAATTTTTCTTGAGACAATTATCTCTAACAGTGAGTGATCATTGATGTCTCTTTTAGATTATGATCATTGATATCACTTTTAGATTATGATCATTGATGTCACTTTTAGATTATGATCATTGATGTCACTATTAGATTATGATCATTGATGTCACTATTAGATTATGATCATTGATGTCACTATTAGATTATGATCATTGATGTCACTATTAGATTATGATCATTGATGTCACTATTAGATTATGATCATTGATGTCACTTTTAGATTATGATCATTGATGTCACTATTAGATTATGATCATTGATGTCACTATTAGATTATGATCATTGATGTCACTATTAGATTATGATCATTGATGTCACTATTAGATTATGATCATTGATGTCACTATTAGATTATGATCATTGATGTCACTATTAGATTATGATCATTGATGTCACTATTAGATTATGATCATTGATGTCACTATTAGATTATGATCATTGATGTCACTATTAGATTATGATCATTGATGTCACTATTAGATTATGATCATTGATGTCACTATTAGATCATGATCATTGATATCACTTTTAGATTATGATCATTGATGTCACTATTAGATCATGATCATTGATGTCACTATTAGATCATGATCATTGATGTCACTATTAGATTATGATCATTAATGTCACTATTAGATCATGATCATTGATATCACTTTTAGATTATAATCATTGATGTCACTATTAGATTATGATCATTGATGCCACTATTAGATCATGATCATTGGTATCACTTTTAGATTATGATCATTGATGTCACTATTAGATCATGATCATTGATGTCACTATTAGATTATGATCATTGATGTCACTATTAGATCGTGATCATTGATATCACTTTTAGATTATGATCGTAGATGTCACTATTAGATCATGATCATTGCTGTCACTATTAGATCATGATCATTGATGTCACTATTAGATCATGATCATTGATGTCACTTTTAGATTATGATCATTGATGTCACTATTAGGTTATGATCATTGATGTCACTATTAGATCATGATCATTGATGTCACTATTAGATCATGATCATTGATATCACTATTAGATTATGATCATTGATGTCACTTTTAGATCATGATCATTGATGTCACTATTAGATTATGATCATTGATGTCACTTTTAGATCATGGCTGATATCAGAGCTATGTGAGACAAGTGACTAATTTGTGTTGTTCTTTGTTCTAGTGACCCGACAGATCCTCTTACTGCTCGGCCAGCCTCTAGTATTCAGCCAACCCACAAGAATCAGAATCGGCCGAACACAAGTATAACGGCAGGGGGCAACAAATTTATATCAGGCTCTCGTGGCCTGGCCAATTCTAGGTTATTACGACTGGCCCCTCTGGATCAAAGGTCACGCACCCCTAATGTGGTAAGTTTCTTATGTCATACCAAAAAATGTGCTGATATCCAAAGATTAAATGAGATCCCACACCATAAAATTTGCTACTATCATACAAAAAAGGACCTATACCCAAAATATGGTTTAAGTCAAACTAAAAGGATCCCATGCCCAAAATGTGGAAATTGTCAAATAAAGAATGACCCATGCCAAAGATCTCAGTAGTGTCTTACAATTGAATTCACATATACTTAAACTTAGACAATTTCTGTTTCTAGGATGATGAGCGGACAGGTCCCAATGGTGCTCTCAGGGTCACACGAATCACTCCTCAAAACGACCTCACCTTCCAGAGGAATGGTGCTCTTCCCCCACTTACCTCCGAGATTGAGCCAAGTCCTTCAATTTCACGAACACAGGTAACCCATAAGGATACCGTCTGTGGGGCTGTTTTTACTGTAAAAAGCCCAAATATAATGTGTTTTATATTAACAATGTTTTAAATAGCATTGCATTATCATACATCCATTTTATATTTTCATATGCATGAGGATATTTAAAGATATTTAATAAGACTCATAGGTTTGTTGTATGTTATATGGTTGTGTTGATTTTTTTCAGCAGAAAATACACAGTGCCAGTAATAGGGCCAGCAGTGCGGTGGACAAGGACATCAGGGCTCCTCACCGGAACCAGTACATTATCCCTGTCGACACACGACCGAGCACCACCCATGCGATGAGGGTAACATTTTCATCTTAATCATAGTTTCCTCATTAGTAATTATTTACATAACCCATTGCACTATTGAATTGTGCTCGTGTAGTAAGCCTTGTGGTTTAGATATCAATATAGGCCATAATCTGACGGCTACTTCAGGCTTGTTAAGCTGTAGGATAAGATGTCAATATGAAGGACTATAATATGACGTCTACTTAAGGTTCATGATATAAAGTCATGTAGCAGCAGTGATAAATGATATTACAGGAGATACATTGTCATTTGTTTTTTGATTGAACAGTCGGACACACCTTTAGGCCAGGCCAGGCGGGCATCCACGCCCTTTGGAATCAATAATATCCCTGCCAGAACTTTAGGTAAGTGTTGGAATTAATATTACATGATAGCTTTTGATTGTTTAAAAAAGTTATTTCACACATAGATTGTTTTAAAAATTATCAGGGAAAAAAGACATAACTGAAGACTTCACTAAAAGTAATTTCTTTGTGTTAGAAGTGACCAGAAACCTTGTAAAAAAAAAAACTGTTTATACACCTTATAGATAATATGATTGTGGTTTACAGGAGATAGGGCGTTGCTGGGTATACATGTCAGTAGTATCCAGCTAAACAAACTGTTTATACACCTTGTAGATAATATGATTGTGGTTTACAGGAGATAGGGCGTTGCTGGGTATACATGGCAGTAGTATCCAGCCGTCCAATGACATCAGTCATCTTGGTCACATGCAGCCAGAGATACTGGAGGAGGGCCTGGACGACGTGGGAAGTTTTCCAAACCAATGGAGTAAGTAGAGGATAAACAAGAGTCAGGAGATTACTTCTACAGTAAGAATGAACCTTACTGTTCTAGTAATGATGCCTTTTCCAGTTTTGGATTTGAATAAAACCGCTTCTGGCAGAATTCTGAGACTAAGTTGTCCAAAATCAAAATGACAGAAAAAAATGGTTTTAAGGAAAGAGTGCTATTGAAATATTGTATAGCTATATCTAGAATGTACCTGAAAACACTGTCACTGTGTCAACAGTGATGGCAATATAGATCAAGCGATGTTTTATCATTAATTGAATGATTAAATAAATGTAAAACGTACTCTTACATAAAAAAGGACCACATGTTTGCTATAGCCAGAAGTGAACAGACATATCCTAAAAATTGGGTTGCTTTTAATAGCATGTAAAAAAAAATGAACACTGCTTTAATGGGTTAGAGCAAACTTGTAGTCAAGATGTGTCTATAATTCTGTTTATGTCATGTCATGTATCCTATGAAAAAGAATAGCGACATTTAAAAATATTTTACAGAAATCGCATAAATATGACATTTATGTTTGTCATTGGTATTGGCCTGAAAATAACCTAGGTTTGTTGTGAAATTTTCCTGTAACACAGTTTATGTGTTTATGTTTCTGCCTGGGAAATACAGTCATTTAATCAGGAAATAAAATGTATTTTACAAATTGGTCAGGGGTATAGCTATATAGTTTGTAGGTTTGCATGTCAAACTAAAAGTACTAAAACTTAATACAGGAGTGCTCTTTCTCTGTTGGGAGAGAGGAGGGGAGAATGACAGTAGTGACAATGGTATTTTACTATTCACTACAGTAGACTGTGTCAGTATGCATGTTACATTGTATCACGATTAGCAGGTGTCCAACACAGTTGATCACATTTTATTTCGTCAACAAATCAGTGTTTAGTTTTACCACCTAAAAATGAGGATATTATTGACTTGAAATCACTGTTTGGGTTTGTTTTACTTTGAAATGTAAGAAAGGAAATGTTCTTTGTTTACAACAGGTCCGAACCAACTACTATTCTCTCCTAAATCACCCAAACCTCTCGAGTTCTGAGGTAAACGGAGTAGCTGATGGCCGTCGAGCCTCAGTTGAGTTCTTGTTGCCAAGTTGGGCATGTTTATTTCACACTTCACGATTGGTTTTCCCACCCGTTTTCCACACGTTCACATTGACCTATCTGTATCTATATTTCTATCTAACATCAAGTGATATATTTGAACTGCCTACATCTCTAGTGTTTTATTCACAGGTGTGTGGGTGTGTATATTCACTGGTCAAAGAGTGACATTCAGCACTCGCTCGCAGTATACATACCAAATCTTGTTTTTGCATGCTTTATTTTTTGTGTGTTAAAGAATGTTCAGGATGAAAATCGTTATTTACATAATATGCTAAAACTTAGAAATGTAACTACAATATTGAATGTTTTCTTTTCCTGCTGTTACAGAAAATCTGTGAAACATATCAATACCAGTCTTCATATGACCTTAAATGTCTCAAGGACATTAAATCCTGAGTAAAAAAATGAATATAATTGATTTTGATTTTGGTTAACCTAAAGGTGAAGCTGTATCCCCACTTTGTAGACACTGAATGAGTAAGACACTGCCTTCAGTGTTACTTAACATCAGTGTACAGTAACAAGACCGTGTGTCCTGTAACAAATCAGTGAACATTCTTTTATGGAATACAATTACTTGGTATATCATTTTTGTTTCGAAAATTTAGAGAAATTTTCATGAATTTATGATATATCCCTAGCAAATTTATAGTTGGATTTGTTTTAGATTAAAAGGCATAATTTATTTTTTTGTCAATTATGTGCATAAAAACAGGTGTAGCAATAAATTCTTCTTCAAATATTTGCACCTTTACACGAGACAATGAAGAGACGTTTGATAAGGATACCACAAAGGGTCAAAGGTCGAATCTCTTTAATGCCTAGTATGGGAGGGTTCATGTCATCTCACTGTAGGGTGTGAAAAAAGTCTTGTGAACTGTTTGCCAAGATTCTAGGACAAGGGAGATTACTCTTCTCTAAACAAAGTAATCCTGTTATATGACTTAGACAACTAGGGTTTGAATAAGATGTAAGAAGGTATTTGGTTACCTGCCAGACTACCTGGGTTTTCTTGGGATAGTCCAGCTTCCTCAATATTAACTCCCCGTATGAGCTTCCATCCAAGCCAACAAGAGTGATTGATATAGGTTGTTAAATATGTTTCATTGTTATTGTAAGATGATTAAAGTTTATGTTGTGAATTACATTAAGGTAATCCTGAGAGTTTTGCCCCAACAAAGATTCTTTTACTGCATCAAGTTTGACAGATAACAACTAGTGTTTGACTTTTACTGCATGAAGTTTGACAGATAACAACTAGTGTTTGACTTTTACTAACTGCATGACTGTTTGTTCCTAGATGTGCTTTGTTCCAAACATTTAAATAGCATAGGCAGTTACCGCCGATACAAATCCTATAAATTGATCGATTTTATTTTGAAATTAAGTGTTAACTGTGAGATGTAGAAATGTGACAAGTATGGTTTTTTTTATTAATAAATCTATGGTGTTGTTCTGATTCCACAACAGCAGATATAACAGTTTTTAAGTAATATGGTTTGTTTTCGAACCTATAACTAAAACATTGTTATTTTGTTTTTACAGCCCCCTCACCCCCAAGTCACCATAACCCATACCGAACCCTCAAGTCACGCCTGGTCAAGTCATAACCATATCTCTGTTGGCGGCATCTTGGCCGTCAGCGGTCATCGTTGTGTAGGACATATGGACTCATCTACAGAATTAGTGCCAAATTTGTGAATAGTGACTTAGCCTGTATAGTGGAAACTGGTGTGACAATTCCCCCACAACCATGTACTGGCCTCTAGGATCAGTCCTTTCACAACCAGGAGCTAGTGTCAAGGTGTGGCTGCCAACAAGCAGGTACTGGTGTCAAGGATCAGCTCACAGTCATGTACTATGCCTGGCAAGGAGCAACACACATCAGGATCAGCTCTCAACCAGGTACTACTGTAGACCTGGTGGCAATAATCAGCTCACAACCAGAAACTGAGGTGTGTAGGCCTTGTGGCAAGAATCACAACCAGGCATTAGCATGGCCTAGCAAGGATCAGCTCATGTTAAAATCAGCTGTCAACCAGATACAGGTGTAGGCCTAGCACGGATCAGCTCACATCAGAATCAGCTCTCGACCAGGTACAAGTGTAGGCCTAGCACGGATCAGCTCTCAACCAGGTACAAGTGAAGGCCTAGCACGGATCAGCTCACATCAGACTCAGCTCTCAACCAGGTACAAGTGTAGGCCTTGCACGGATCAGCTCACATCAGAATCAGCTCTCCACCAGGTACAAGTGTAGGCCTGGCACGGATCAGCTCACATCAGAATCAGCTCACAGCCTGGTGAAGGTGTAGGCCTAGCACGGATCGGCTCTCAACCAGGTACAAGTGAAGGCCTAGCACGTATCAGCTCACATCAGAATCAGCTCACAGCCTGGTGAAGGTGTAGGCCTAGCACGGGTCAGCTCTCAACCAGGTACAAGTGTAGGCCTTGCACGGATCAGCTCACATCAGAATCAGCTCTTATCAGAATCAGCTCACAGCCTGGTGAAGGTGTAGACCTAGCACGGATCAGCTCTCAACCAGGTACAAGTGAAGGCCTAGCACGGATCAGCTCACATCAGAATCAGCTCACAACCTGGTTCAAGTGCATGCCTGGAAGTTTGATCAGCCTATAATCAGCAGCTTTACTGTCTGACCTATCAAAGTCACTGGACAACTTCACATCTGGTTAGTTGGACATGTTCACATCAGATCAACAAGACAACTAAAGTGTAATCCTTGTCACCTAGAAAACTACACACATGGACATGCTGTCATCTCTAGAAAAACCTGAGTTTGCTGGTCCCCTGGAATACTGATACTGACAATAAGCCAGGACAGTGTGCTGGCCTGTGATTGTTAACATGTGAGCTCTATAAGAGACTGGACTGTGGGCTTCACGGAAAGCTGGATGTTCTGTTATTGTTGTAGCCCAGGCACAAAACCAGGCTTTGTTATATTGATACAGTGTATAATAGACTTGGTGTGTCTCTGGTGTAGCTTAACATTGACACAAGTTTCATTTGGATACATGTGCCATATGGCTGTGTAAGGGAGATAACACTGCAACTCGGAAACAATCGCCAACCCCCTAGACTGGATCCAGGGTTAGACACTGTAGTAATGGGATGCTTAAGTGGACATTTGCCTGGCAGCTGCTAAATAAATCACGGAAACAATTTATTTACTCATTCTAACTGTCTGCAAGTTAAGGATGATTGTCATAACTTATATCAGGTACGACATATATTGAAAAAGACATTCTGGGTGCCTTTTTTACAAAATGATCATCATATCTATTGTCTGAAAAGTGTTAATTGATTTTTCTGTACATTTAATTGGACATGGACATCATCACCTGCAGATGGCTCCTTGTGTAATGCTCACTGTTTAGTGTATATTTAAGGAATCACAGTGCGGTGTGAATTCCATGAAGAGATAGGAGGATGTATACAGACGCTACTGGTCCTTGACTATAAACACTTTTTGGTAGTTTGAACTGTTAGTAGGTTTGAAGAGGGATGCAGACCCTCTTATCTTACTGGACTGATATGATAGCTGAACACTAATAGATATAGTTATGATCACATGTGATATACCGAAGTCCGTCGGATTGTATTTTTATTGCTGGAAGATGGGAGAGCAACGGATTAGGCAACACCTTTTGGCTGTTAATATAATGCCGAAATTTGTATGAACAAATTATGACTGATGTTCTGTGATATGTGCTTAAATTTAAGAATATTATGTTTTTTAAGTTTTCTTATTTTTAATGATCATTTGTTTATGCCTCATCCTGTAAATATGTAAATAGTGTAAATAGTTGTAGTAGTGAACTGTTGTGATCCTGCCCTGTGGGAGGGGCCGTGGTGTACTGCCCCTACCCATGGCTAGAGACATCAGTGTGCCCTTTCTTCCCATGGGTGGGGCTGTGATGTGCCCCTGCCTATGGTTTGGACTTTGGATAACTGTTGTGTTTGTGCCCTGAGGGCTGCATGGCAGCAAGCCCCAGGTAAAAGCATACTGTAGACATAATACTGCCTACTTTATACCTCAGTGATACAGCTTCTCACTCATGTGTGTGTGTCACAGTGAATCAGAATGTTTGTATGTGGGAGGGTTTGTAGGGAGGAATGTGTTGTTGAGTGGGATGTGTTGTAAGAGGAATGTGTTGTGGAGTTGGATGTGTTGTAAGAGGAATGTGTTGTGGAGTGGGATGTGTTGTAAGAAAAATGTGTTGTTGAGTGGGATGTGTTGTAAGAGGAATTTATGTGGAGCGGGATGTGTTGTAAGAGGAATGTGTTGTGGAGTGGGATGTGTTGTTGAGTGGGATGTGTTGTAAGAGGAATGTGTTGTTGAGTGGGATGTGTTGTAAGAGGAATGTGTTGTTGAATGGAATGTGTTGTAGGAAGGTATATGTTGTAAAGAAGGATCTATTGTAGGTACATAATTATTTGTAGTATTTAAACTTGGGTTTATGTTGTTTTGCATCCATTTAGCTAATTTGCTTATGTCAGAGACAAAAATTAACATACTTTTTTTTTTGAGAGGGAAACGAAATAAGGGAGGGGGCTTTATTGCAGGCACCTGTTACCAGGATATTTGCCAAAGTGGGAGGTGTTTTTTTGGCGGTCAAATATGTTAAAATGTCATGAAGGGAGGTGGGTTTTACAGAAGAATGTGTTGTATTGAAGTGTGTCAGGAAGGTATGTATTTTAGAGGGGTGTAAAGAGAAATGCTATTTGGATGTTTTTGTTGAAGGAAGAATGTGTTGCAGCAAGGTATATTTAGTAAGGGAGGAAGTTTAAGTGAGAGATGCATCATGTTTTGTAGGAAGAACGTGTTGCAACAGACACGTGTTGTTGGTAATATGTGGTGTAGGAGTTATTTGTTTTAGGGAGGAGTGTGTTGTTACAATGTAGGGAGCTATGTGCTGTATGGAGAAGGATTGATAAAGATGGAGTTGTGTTCGAGAGAAATGTGTGGTAAGGATGGAAGTATGAGAGTTCCATTGACTATAAGAGCAGGGTCCATTTAATTTATTTGTCATATCTTCAGAATTTTCAAAGTGACGTGCTGTCACAAATGTATCAAACTGACACATGCTTGCAAATTTTTCATTTAATCTTGGAATAATCAGATTTTTATTAAAGTAACGTGGATTGAGAATGTACCTTATGATGTGGGGAGGATACTTCATTTATTACAATACACATACATTTTATTTTGTAAATGGCTTTCTCCTCCACACCTCTACATGTGACCAATACCTGCGAAACATAAGGTTTTCTGACACCCTAAATCGAAAACAGGCAAAGAGCATTGTTTTTTTTAGATTACATTATTTTGTTCAATGGTAAGAAATCACATTTTTGGGAGTGTGGAACATTTAATTTCAAATTTTTAATTGATAAAGATAAGAGTTTTTCTTTAATATATACCAAGCTATGAAAGTTTTGCTCACTGTTTCTCAGGCAAGCACAAAATGATATCTTGGCTCACAAATCTCAGGTATGTGTGATATTCTCATAAGATCAGGTTTCAATATGCCTTGTGTGTGTAAATATTTACCCATCATAGACCTCATTTATTCGATAATGCAAAATTAATTTTGTTACAATTTGGTAGACTATATAACAAGGAAAACAATGCTTGATATTTAATAGCTTCAAATTCTTAGTCAGGAGAAACTGTTGTTTACATTTAATGGGAGGTGAAGGCTGTACATTGTCAGGTTAATGAAGAGTCCTCTTATTATGATTTTGATTTTTTTTTATGGTTTGATCCACAACAACGTTAGATGAATGTAAAAGTTACCAAAGGTGATTCGTAAGTTGATTGAAGTAGGCATATCATGAGATCATTGAAAGATAACTATTTGTAAACAAAAGTATGTGGTAACATTTTAGGGCTGCCAATTTAAGATCATGACATTTAAATTAAGTTTATATGTAATTTATATATTGTGTACTTCAAAATAGTACCAATAAGAGAAAATGTTGGTTATATCAAGGCAGGTAATAATTTGACAACTTTGTTACCTTGGAAATGTCTCAAGTTATCCTTGTATCCTTGGAAATGTCTCGAGTTATCCTTGTATCTGGATAGCTTATGTTGATGCATCCAGGTATTATCTGGTTTCGATGCATCAAGTTGTTCTTGAATACCTTGTGTCGAGGTGGCCTTGGATACCTTGTGTCGAGGTGGCCTTGGATACCTTGTGTCGAGGTGGCCTTGGATACCTTGTGTCGAGGTGGCCTTGGATACCTTGTGTCGAGGTGGCCTTGGATACCTTGTGTCGAGGTGGCCTTGGATACCTTGTGTCGAGGTGGCCTTGGATACCTTGTGTCGAGGTGGCCTTGGATACCTTGTGTCGAGGTGGCCTTGGATACCTTGTGTCGAGGTGGCCTTGGATACCTTGTGTCGAGGTGGCCTTGGATACCTTGTGTCGAGGTGGCCTTGGATACCTTGTGTCGAGGTGGCCTTGGATACCTTGTGTCGAGGTGGCCTTGGATACCTTGTGTCGAGGTGGCCTTGGATACCTTGTGTCGAGGTGGCCTTGGATACCTTGTGTCGAGGTGGCCTTGGATACCTTGTGTCGAGGTGGCCTTGGATACCTTGTGTCGAGGTGGCCTTGGATACCTTGTGTCGAGGTGTCCTTGGATACCTTAGGTCGAGGTGTCCTTGGATACCTTGTGCTGAGATATCCAGATGTCCTTGGATACCTTGTGTCGAGATATCTCGATGTCCTTGGAAACCTTGTCCTTTGATACCTTGTTGTTTTTCCCTGGCCTTCACACATCTACCATGGTATTGTTGTTGTGTTCTCTGTGGTACCAGCAGAGAATGTAATCTGAACCTTGTAGATGATACCAACGAATTGTCATTCAATGAATACACAATGATAGCAGTAAACATAGACTTGGTCAGAGGCGAATGTCTTACTGAGTAGTGTTTCTAAAAGACTGTTACAATTCATCTACATAATCATGCTTCAGTGAGTAAAACCTACCAGTGACAGACTATTTATAAGGAGTGAGAGATAGTGCTGTATGTGCGAAGGAACATTTATTATCAGTAGATTTACCATTTATGTACTTTTTCCTTATCGTTTTCCATGTTTTATGTGAATGTTGTCTGGACAGTGCTAAGTAAGAAGCCATATTACATTTATGAATGAAAAATCTTACCTATTGACCTCAAGTTCACCATAACATATTCAGATCTACCCATTATTCTGCCTTCAGACACTTGATATGGATCAAAACTAACGACAAAGAGTTGGCAGTCTTGCACTTCTGTAGCTTAAATAATGTTTTGTGAATTTGAAGTCTTTTCACATCAAAAAGACATCTTGACCCTGTTCCTATCCATAGTGACAGCTGAGGTGTTCCTGAAGATGTCAATATTTTTTTTATGAAAATCAACATTGAACGTGTTTCTAGGGATTGAGATAATCGAAATGATCCCAGGGAAATTGACAGTCCATGTGTTCCTAGGGATAATGACAGTCTAGGTATTCCTAGGGATAGTGACAGTCTACGTGTTCCTAGGGAAAGTGACAGTCTGTGTGTTCCTAGGGATAATGACAGTCTAGGTATTCCTAGGAATAGTGACAGTCTATGTGTTCCTATGGAAAGTGACAGTCCAGGTTTTTCTAGGGATTATGACCGTCAAAGTATTCCTAGGGATAGTGACAGCCTATGTGTTCCTAGGGATAGTGACAGTCTATGTGTTCCTAGGGAAAGTGACAGTCCAGGTGTTCCTAAGGATAGTGACAGTCTAGGTATTCCTAGCTAAAGTGACAGTCTACATGATCCTAGGAATAGTGATGTCAAGGTGTTCCTAGGGATAGTGACAGTCTTCTTAAGGATAGTGACAAATAATGTGTTCCTAGGAATAATTAATATGTTGATTCTAACAGGTCCTAGTCATACCAGGTTTACAAACACACACCTGTGTGGCTGGGTATGTCATTTCTGACAGTCTAATACAGGAGAGAATCTCATTCCAAATCAAATATTTACATACGTCATATCTGGTCAGATTGTAGTATAGATAATATAACTCTTATTTTATGTAAAAAAAACAGATGTATGTATATGTGTATTTTTCATTTTATTAACAATATGTGATTCTTTTAGGTAAATGTGGGCTAACAGGCTGCCTCGGTGGCGATTGGTCCTTGTGACAGCAGTAGGTGGTGTGTCGAGACTGGTGTAGGTACAAGAAACGTACCACCACCTCTAGGCTGGTTCGGGTACAAGAAACATACCACCACCTCTAGGTTGGTGTGGGTACAGGGAAGGTACCACTACCTCTAGGCTGGTGTGGGTACAAGAAAGGTACCACCACATCTAGGCTGTTGTGGATACAAGAAACATACCACCACCTCTAGGCTGGTGTGGGTACAAGAAATGTACCACCACCTCTAGGCTGGTGTGGGTACAAGAAACGTACCACCACCTCTAGGCTGGTTCGGGTACAAGAAACATACCACCACCTCTAGGTTGGTGTGGGTACAGGGAAGGTACCACTACCTCTAGGCTGGTGTGGGTACAAGAAAGGTACCACCACATCTAGGCTGTTGTGGATACAAGAAACATACCACCACCTCTAGGCTGGTGTGGGTACAAGAAATGTACCACCACCTCTAGGCTGGTGTGGGTACAAGAAACGTACCACCACCTCTAGGCTGGTTCGGGTACAAGAAACATACCACCACCTCTAGGTTGGTGTGGGTACAGGGAAGGTACCACTACCTCTAGGCTGGTGTGGGTACAAGAAAGGTACCACCACATCTAGGCTGTTGTGGATACAAGAAACATCCCACCACCTCTAGGCTGGTGTGGGTACAAGAAATGTACCACCACCTCTAGGCTGGTGTGGATACAAGAAACGTACCACTACCTCTAGGCTGGTGTGGGTACAGGGAAGGTACCACTACCTCTAGGCTGGTGTGGGTACAGGGAAGGTACCACCACCTCTAGGCTGGTGTGGGTACAAGAAAGGTACCACCACCTCTAGGCTGGTGTGG